GTAGCTTGCGTATTTTTCCCTGCTGCTTCTTAAATCTCTACTATTACAAAACTTCCCATATACATTACAGGATGGACTTTACAGATCAAGAACTCGGGAGTGCTCCTTTTCCCTCTCATTTGTGACGGATGGACTCACAGGGGGATGGGTTCCTACAAGCATCATTCCCGAAGGCCATATGTGCCCCCAAACCAGACGATCTAGTCAGCCACATTTGTGATATCAGTCTTGGTAAATATGCTTTAGAAAATGCTAAAGAAACTCTTTCTGTTACCAAGAAGTGCATACAATTCCAAGGGAACAAGAGGATTGTACTCTCTAGACAAAAGGATGAAGATACAGATTGAAATAAGTAGGCAATATTTAGGTTTAGAGAATGTCTAAGTTGTTGATAAAAAAAAATGCTGCCATGCCGTATTCTCAAAGGAAGAGAAATTTAATCACACAGGAGCTCCAAATGTTGTGTGTGTCTGTAAAACTGTTTTCAGTCTGTAATGGTATTTCTTGTTCACTACATGCAATACAGGTAAATTTTTAACTCCTCTGTTCTCCCTTGCCAATGGGAAGTGTGAGCTAGGAATAGGATTTTCAAGTCCTCAGCTGGCATCATTCATTTGTCAAAGGAGTTACCCCTCCTCCTGGGCTGACACCACCCAAGCCCTGGACTTGGGGGCTATCCAGTGGAGTCAGGGATAGTCCAGACTGTGCTTTCACCTACCGCCGTGCCTGCCTAGGAGGGAGACAGATGCCAAAGCTGAGACAGATGTTAGTTCTGTGGATTTTATTTACAGCCAGCAGGTGTGATTCCTACGGGAAGCTCACTCTTCCTTTGAGAATGACAGCCCAGTGCTACAGCTGTGTGGGATCACAGAGTGCAAAGTCCAAACTCACTCAGAGCCAGAAGCTAAATGAAGTTTGGCCCATAATTGTCTCGACAGCATTTATTTTCTCATGTAAACATAAAATGCTTTGTTGCTCTTTCTCTTACGCACCCACTAGCCTATCCTTCTTTGCTTGTAGGGAGTTCACTTTAAGTCAGTTCCTCCCCATTGTCTCTGGATCCTTGGCCTTTACACATTCTGACTTTTTTTTTTTTTTTTGGTCTTGGAATATATATGTAAAAACATCTTTCAGCTTTCCTTTAACAGTTTATGGTATCTCTCTGCTTTTGTTCCCATTTAAGGGACTGTAATACCTATATAAGCATAGGCTATGCACCATTCAGTTGCATGTACACATGCACACCTCAGCATGAGTCACCTTATCCACATCTGTGTGACCAGAAATACAGTTCTGCTTTGTGCATTAGCAAGCACTTCTGTGATTTGCAGATATCCAGAAAACAAACAGCCGCAAGCCAGCATCTTATTCTATTGCTGTGATGTATTTTTCTCTGGTTCTTTTTGAATGTAACAGAAGGTCATTAAAAACAGAAGTAATACCCTCTGCTGCAGTATAGAAGTTCCTCTAGAAACTCTGAGGGCTTCTGAATGTGCAAATATTTGAGTTTCCACACAATCAGGTGTATTTGCCTCCTACCCTTCAAAGGCAGGAAGTCTGTCACTGCAGACTCACAGTGGTAGATTCTTAATGGGGATCCCAACCCAAACTGACAGATCTTGGGTGTAATTTTTTTAACCTGTCAAGAACGATCATTTTTTCTTTTGTGTTTTATTTTTATTAACAAGATACAAGGAACAAAGTACCCTCAGAAGAAGGCAACTTTCTAGAGCAGTAACATTCGCAGCCACTCCACAGAAAAGTGTCGCAGGAGCCTAATAAAGGTTTAGTGAGTTTTTAATTGTGAATGGCACTCCATGCTGAAGGCACAGTTTTGGGGAGAAATCTAGTGAGAGCTGTACATTTAATCAGAGTGGCATCACTGCATTGCCTTCACCCAGAATCAAGATCAATAGGAAAGCGTCTGTACCTGTTCATGTTGGGGGAGCAACCTGAAATCTGCCTTTCCGTGGTGGCTTCACTCCCACGAGGTTATGAGAGAGTCACCATCCTGCTCTCTGCCTCATTTCTCTCATTGTAAAACATGATTTACTTCACTTATTCCCACAGGTTTTGTGGTTGTTAATGGGGACTGTAAATTGCTGTTTTACCAGTGCTCTGGCTGAGAAGTCAGGCCTGTCTTTCTCACTGTGTGTTCTCTCTGTCACATGCAGGCAACACAGCCCTGGAGAAAATGGAGAGTCCAGCTACTGGGTGAAGGCTTGACTGTGGTTCCCGAATACCCACTTTCTGTGCTTGCTGGCTCAGGCTGTGTTTGTAAACACTCACAGGCCCTCTCCTTTGGATTGTTCCTTGGAGCCAGATTTTCTTTTGATGTTAAACAGGATGTGTGTGTTAATTTATTTTACTCAGGGTGGGAAATTGCTGCCAATGTTCTTTGAAGAGTCCTGTGAGCCATCTCTTGTCTCACATAAACATTCAGGCAATTTTGGTTAAAGTGCTTATTTTTTTTAACTATGCATAAATGTTAATCTGGCTGTTTTACAGCAGAGAAGTTTTACAGGCTCCTTTAAAAATGTCAAGGTCATGTTTAAACAGTTACTGTTTAAACTGAGGAGATGAGGCACTGGACCAAGAGGATTCAGAGATGAAAAAATGAAAACCAGTGTTTTCTGCTAACAGGTGGTATTTGAGAGTTTAGTGCTGTTGAAAGTGATGGTGAAGTACTTCAGAGACTGACTGCTTCTGCATCTACTACTTTGTACTTGTACCATGGACGTTGTTAGTGAAAATACACCCTTCCTGCCTTAGTCCTAAATTGAAAGGACTTCTGCTGATGACAGGAAAGCACAGGCTCTCTAAATGCTGACTTCCTGAGACTGCCAGGGGGGCCAGTTCATGCCAATTACCACAGTGATATTTGTGATGATGAAGTATACTACTTCCTGGTTTACAGTGGTCCAGGAGGCTGTGATGGTTAAACATTGCTTGTGAGGTCTCCCACATTCAGCATAATCTCTCAGGAGAAAAACAATCGAGAATCCCAGTGCTGGATGATTCTGCCTATCATTATGCTGCACTCCCACCTGGGCAAGGAGCACAGGGTGCTTCTTTTCAAAATCCAGAACTGCAAGTTTGACGAAAATATTCAAGCCTTATGGAATGCTCTTAAGTTACGTTTAAGTTAGAAGAAAGCAAAGACCTATATATTTTAAAAAGCTTTCTCTTTTTGTGACAGCATTAGCCCCTGGTCTTGGTTTGATGTTTAATTGGTAGGGTGTTATGATTTGAAAACTGATGCAGTTCAAACTGCATCACTTGCTACTAGACATGCACAGTATTTTACCAAACAAGACCAGACAGATGTCTTGTTCTGAAGAGCCTGCAGTTTGAGACTGATCTTTCAAGATTCTGTATGATGCCAGATGCTCCAAGGGAATGGTTTGGTCTCTTTGCAATCTCAAGTGTCTGCATACATTTTACTGTAGGTTTGGTGTCTAGCACTCTTATACTAGGACAACAATCCAGGCTTTTACAACAAGACCTAACTGAGGGCTTAATTGAAAAAGTTTAGTATCTCCCCAAGGACTGTGACATAAATTCAACTGAGATGACAAGAGGAAGGAATTGGAAGATGGATAGTGTGAGAATAGATGAAGTTTATCTTTCATTTGAGTTGAATTCAAACAGAGCTAGTAATGGTGAAATGTTGTGATGACTTTGGTGGTGAGAGTTAAATTGGAGGTTTTCCCAGTGATCGGTGCTCCATTTTAAAATGCAAAAAAAAAAAAAAAAATTAGTTGTAGCTGGCACGAAATGCAGATCTTTTTTTATTTTAGCAGTAGCAATAGATGGCAATGACTGATCCACAGCAACCAAACTGCTCATTTCTCATTCCTTTTGGTTATGGGTGGCCCACAGCAATGAGGGAGTTGCTTGTTCATATTCTTACTAACACTGTGAAAGACAGCATTCAGCTCATGAGGACTGTTCATTTGCCATCTTTTTTGTGGTATAAGCCTTCCCCTGACAGAGATCTGATTTTAAAAACGAGGGAGACTTTCACCCCAGGATGTGGTATTAGTTTTCAATCTTCATTCAGTAATCAATACCATTCAGTACAGTGTATGTATAATGCCACACAGTATTTTAAGTTGATGGAGATACGTGGGATGTAGGAAGAAATCTGTGTTCACCCTTTACCTAACAGTCATTGAGTCATGCCATCTTGTTTAAACAAACAGTGTGAATCTTAAAATAGCCCCTGGACATTCCACCACAATGGCCATATTCAAATGAACGTTCAAGGTGTGCCCTCTATCACATAGCCACACGGTAACCCTTTGATGACAGTGGAGCCACCTAAAGACAGTATTAAGCTACACTTGGCATTGGACACACAGAGCTGTTCACTTGGTCTGGTGAAGCAAAAAAATCTGCTTCTCTGTCATCCATCCACCAAGGGAGGCAATAGACATGAAACCTTGTGAGGCTAAGCTCATCTGAGGGTGGTTTCAACATACCAGTTACTGTTAATAGCTAATTATTAGGGGAACTCATGGAACCTGACCTTGTTGCCATATAAATGGTGGGAAACTCTGCTCTCCACCTGATTAACCATTGACATCAGCCACTTTTAAGAAGATAGGAGTGAAAACTTGAAATTCTTTGAAAGCAGTACTATTAATATTGCTATAGATTCCCTGCTGGTGTTTTCCATAGGGCCTTACTGATACATTTCAAAGGATAGTTTAGATATGACAAAAGCATAAATATCTTCTGGAACTGCTCAGTTAAGCCAGCAGTGAGTAGACATTGCAGCTCAGCGTTCAGAAACTGTTTGGTGGTGTCCCTCTAGCAAAGAAAGCTTCAAAGAAGAGGCTTGGAAAGGCTACTTTTCTGGAGCTCTCGGTTTCTAACCTAGAGCTCGGGCTAATATTGGAGGGACTTGGATTTTCATGAGATAAGAAATGTAAATTCAGGGTCTGCAGGTGAAGTACTCAGCTCTTCAAGACTGTCCATGTTTTATCTTCCACCAGGCTCTGTCTGTACCATGTTTATTTGTGCAGAAATCCAGAACAGGCTGTGAAATTGGTCAATAAACCTGGTATTAATCCCTCAGTAAAGGTAGGTTAAGGCTCCAGAGAAAAGACACTGTGGAGGGAGCTTATGGCAGCTAAATGAGCTGAATGTGTACCAAATGCTCCCCTTTCCTAGTTGGGAACCTAACCTGCACTTCTGACACTCAACATCACAAGTACTTCAAGCTGAGAGGAAAATGCCTCCTGCCTAAGTGGCTCACAAAGATCCCAGTGAATGGTGTGTGTCCCCATGAGTCACTGTGGGAGCTGGGGAACCAGGCAGGCCACCAGCTGGGCACCCAGGGCCTACCCAGGCACCAAGACCCTGCCAGACCAAAGCTAACCCCTCCTGTGTTTGAACTGCCCTGGGGGCACTGACCCACAGCTCTGAAGAGGGGAGATGTATAGAACAGGGCTGGCCATTTGGACATATCTACTGGCTCTGTCTCTTAACAGGAGAGAGTGCTCAGTGCTACTAAAATAGAACAAATTTGCAATGATATCAGGTTATATGTTTTATGAGCCATATAATTAACATGCGACACTCAGTGCCATGGGATATTATTGACTTGGTAGCTTAGTAAGTATCAAAAAGGATTAAGCATTGACATGAAGCAGAATAGCATGTGCACTGACACAAGCTAGGATCAAAATTACAAGGGCTACCAACCCTTGTGCTTCAGGGCACATTTTGATCATCAGTTTGGGGCCAGAAGGAAGTCTACTCTCTAATTGAGCAGTACACAGGATGCATGTGGGTTACAGTTATACGTATCTCTATGGGCCTTTTCGATTCCTTTCCCTTCTCCTTCTCTCTCTTCCTTTCATCCCCTCCTGTTTCCCCTCCCTCACATTTGTCGTCTGGAATAGGTCACTACTGAAGACAAGACACTAAATTAGATGGATGGCTGAATAGTCTGTACTAATAGGGTAATTTAATGTTTGCTTCTCTCCAGAAGCCTTAACGTTTATTTCAAATATAAATTTTATATTCACTTACTAAACAGCTCCTGTCCTTCCAACCTTCCTTCTATGCATGCTACTTTGTTTTTATCAGCTACACCTACAAATCCACTTAGGCTCATTTGAATCATGATTTTTCAGAGGTAACAAGTGAACCTCAGTTTGGGAAAAGGACAAGAACAACCAGGCACATTAAAGGAACCTGATTTATCTGATTTATAAACAGAATGGACAGCAGAAGCATAGAGAATAAAATTACTTGCTTCTTTGTGGGACCTCAAGGTAATAGCAGAAAAATATGCCTACTTATTTCATTTGTTGCTTATTTCTTTTTTGCTTCTTGTCTTCACTCTTCCAGACTGATTTCTAACTCCGCCCATCCTTGCCCTTCCTGGGTTATTTTTTTGCTGACATATTCTCTTCATACCTGGTGCCAACCAGCGCTGCTCCACTTAGCTCACTGATACTGCCCTTTGGTTTGCTCAGCCTTGCTGGAAAGACCCTGTGGTGCAGGCTCTCCAGTGTCCTTCCCATTTTCCACAGTGGGTTGAGCTCTAGTTAGTTTCTGTGAATTCATTTTCTAGTCCTTTACTCAGCTTCCTTAAAGACCAAAGCTTTGTGTTATTGTCTTCCCACAGACATTCTTCAACATGCCAAAGTTGACCTTAGGCTCCATGGACAGATGGGGCCTGATCCAAAGTCCATTAACATCAGAGGAAATGTCCATTTACACCCATGGGCTTTGCATTAAATGCTTTGCATTTTACTTACCTTCTTTGGTGCTTCTTACTCAGCTTCAGTTATGAAAATCAGATTAATCCCTCGCAGATCCCTGACAGTTCCGTGTACTGTATAAACCAATCTATGCTACTTCAAAAGATGGAGACCACAACTGCTACTCTGCTAACGTGAAATCTGCACCTGGCTAATACTAAAAGGAAGGTGTTATTTCCTGATTTCCATCCTGCATAAGTGAGGTCAGAATTTCACTCACTGATCATTAGCTGAATCTTCCATTACTAGTGCTCTCTCAAACCCATTTCTTACTCTTCAGATATTTTCTGGTCCCTACAATATTATTCTGACCAGGGACCATTCAAGATTCACTCTGTTTGCAGTTTTACCCTCAGTACAAGTAGACTGCTATGTCAGCCAGAACATCAATACTTCTTTCTGTTGACACAATACTCTCTTACCCATATTGCCACCCCTCCTCCTGCTTCATTTTGTCTACATTCCTGTTGAAAACTCTACTCCCATAATTTAGTCTCCCACTCAATACTTGGTTTAATCAAGTCTGTCACTCAATTTATATCTCACTTCTTGCTTAACACAAGTTTCTCGGTTAGCAGTCTGTTTCTGTAGCACTTGCTATGCATAACACATGGTTAGCTTTTCTTTCTACGCTTGCTTCTCTGTTTCCCTTCTGATTTCCAGACCTCACTTTTCCTTGTAACACTTGAAGATGAGAGACTCCTCTTCTGTCTCCCCCCCCCCCCCGCTTTTTTTTTATGTTCCTTATGTATTTTATGAGTTCACTGCAATCAGGGCTACTTAAATATCATGGGGTGCTTTGCCTAGGGCATGAAACAGTCCTCAGGTCTAGTTAAAATGATTTTCAACTGCAGATTCTCACTCAGTTTAATATGTAGCTTCAGGTAAACCTCTCCTGTTGCTGTATTTCTTTGTTGTAGCTTATACCCCTTACCATCTTCATCATCTTTGCTTGGTTTGTAGTTACACGGGACGAATGCATAAAAGTTAGATTCTTTCCCTCTGGCTGCTCATTCAGCACAGTGTGCTAAAATCTGGTCTTGCACATCCATCCTCAGTTTTTGTGTCCAGGAACAAAGAGTGGAGCAGAATCCTGTTCCAGTTGCTCCGTATGTTCTACCATAGGGGCCTGGGTTGCATGTATCTTGACCACATCACCTAGTGTAACCACAACAGAAACTTAGCACCTCACTTTTCCTGTGTGAAGAACATCCAATGTAATTTTGGACAGTAAAAGTGCACTGAAGGTTGCTTATCAGCAGTATTAGCCACCACCACATCTCCCACAGGAGTCTGTTACTAGACAGTGCCCCAAGTAAGGACCGTGGGGTAAGGACTGCTTTCCTCCTTGGCTGCAGCTCTTCTAGTTGTTAGAGAAACTGGTGGACTGCTGATTAAGGCTGTTGGAGCAGTTTTAGCTGGGCAGGAGGCAGGTTCACTGATCAGCACCTGTTGGGTAGATCATTTGTTGGTTCTCTGAATTCTGCTGGGTCAGCAGATTTCCAGGTTTAAATGCTGGCACAGTGTAAGATGCAGAATGCTGTTGTTTCATAATCACCTTCTAGAAGTATTGCTTTGTTGTAATGCTACTGTTATGTTGCCCTACTTTTGGTATCTACTTTCAGCAGAGGCTGGGTGAATTTTTGCCTACTGCATCACTGAGGTGTAGACTTTGCAGCACTGGTCTGGCTGTATTTAACCTGGGGATAGGGGGTGTGTGTGTGTGTGTGTGTGTGTGTATGTGATATGTTGGTGGCTGCTGTCACTGCTTTTTATGTGATTGAATAACGTGATGCTTTTGTAGGCTAGTCATAAAGCAGGAATACATGGTACAGCACTTTTCATTTTCGGATCAGTTTGATACTGTTCCTGGCTTATGGTACACTTATCTGTCTCTCTGTATATTCTCAGCACAGCTTGTGCTCCCAGTCGTGCAGGAGAGGCCAGAGCAGCCCTTCCCTCCCTGGCTGGATCCGTGGCTGCCCTATATAAATCTGCATATTAAGCAGATTTGGCAATTGTTCAGACAGAGACAGACTCGCTTAAGTAAAAGGTGAAAATAAACTTGTTTATAAAGGCCCTGCAGACAGCGCTCTCAGATGGTGTGCTATTAGAGGCAGAACAGAGGCTGGTTTGTTTTCTTTTGCAGCTGGAGACCGATCATTTGTTTGCCTGCTGCGTCCAAGTCCCATCACCATAAACCATACGTGTGTGAGAATGCCCTGTCTCGTTCGTTAGTTAGTTTCAAGGCACTTGGCGTGTTTCGGCTCTACCTCTGCACCAGATGGTTCATTTCCTTGGGGACTCCCACATGCACCCCCAGGCTCGGGAGGCCTGGAAGCGCGCCTGGCGCGACCCGAGGCGGATCATGGGGAGCAGGACGCGGGGCTCTGCTCCCCGCTCCGGCGGGGGGGAAACGCCGAGCGGCGGGTCCCTGCGCGGGCGGTGGCTTCTGGTTGCGGTCGGCAGCAGACGCGACCTGCCTCTTCCTCCCCGCGCCACCGGCTGCTCCGCCGGCCGAAGCACGACACCGGGCAGTCAGTGCCTGCAGGGCCGCGGCAGGCAGGGAACGGGTCGCCCGGCATCAGCCCAGCTGACGTGCGCCCGGGAGAGGGCGGCGGCCCCCCCGCGCTGCACGCACGAAGTTTATCCGGCCGCGGCTTTCTCGGCCCTGGGTGCTGCGGCCTCGGCCCGGCGCCTCCCCCCGGGGGGAGTTAAGAGAAACACCCGCGGGTGCGCTTGGCCGGGGCTCCCCTGCCGGGTCTGCAGGCTGCCAGCCGGAGCGCAGCGAGCGGGAACGGGGCCGAGCCCGAGCCCGCCGCAGTCTGCCCCTTCCCTTCCCTCCCCCTGTGCGCGGGGCCGCTGACTGCAGTGCCCGCTCCGGCAAGCGGGGGGAGGCGGCCGCGCCCCGGCTGCAGCCGCCCGCGCTGGCGGCGGCGTTAGCGGCGGCGCTGCGGGAGCCCCGGGAGCGCCCCCGGCGGTCACACCCCGCGGCGGGCCGGGGCCGGCGGAGGGAGGGGGCCGGCGCGGGGTGTCTCCGAGCCAGTTCTCGCGGTGCTGGCCAGGCTCAGCCTCCTTCCCCTCCCCGGCGAGCGGTGACTGTGCACGGCGGAGTGGGGAGCGCCGAGCCGGGCGCGGGGGAAGCCCGCGCCGCCCCAGCGAGCCAGGAGGGAGGCCGCCGAGCAGCGCGCCCGCCCGGCCCGTCCCGGCCGCCCTGCCCCATGCCCCAGCGGCGCTGAGCCTCCCGCAGCCCGAACATGGCCACCACGGCAACGTGCACCCGCTTCACCGACGAGTACCAGCTCTACGAGGAGCTTGGCAAGTACGGAGCCCTCTGCGCGCCCCGCGCCGCGCCCCGCCGCTCGCCCCGGCCCCGGGACCCGCCGGCGCTGCCGGGGAGCCCTGTGCCGGCCACCCGGCTCTGCCGGGAGCCGGAGGAGGATTAGCTGTAGCTTTGTAATCCCGCTCTCCGACCCCGCGGCACCGCCGCTGGAAGGAAAGGTGTTTCTGCGTCCCGGGGTCGTCCCCGCCGCGGCATGGGTTGTCCCCGCAGCCGGCCTCGGACTGCGCGCTCCTGTTGCAGCCCAGGACTTTCCCTCTTTCCCCCTTGCCCTTCTCAGGACCAGGCTGCCGCGTTCTCTTCCCCACACCGTCTCCCTGCTGCACACTGCAGTTCCCTTCAACTGTTTCTGTGCTGGGACACAACACTCTTACCGCCACTCTGCGATGCTTCAGTCCCCACTTCCTTGTCCCTGTGAAAGGACCAGGTGCTGCTGCACTGCTCTTCTCCCTCTCTCTCCTTCCCTCCCTCTCTCCGCACTTGTCTCTGCATTGGCAGACCTGCTGCTGCACCCTAGGACGGGGCTTTGCAGGGGCACCCCGCGGGACAGGAAAGCGGCATAGCAATGGCCGGGGTAGGATGTGGGGACAGTGCTTTCCCGGGTGCTGCTGTTCTCCCCCTCCCTCCCTCCCTGCACCAACGGCTGGGCTCTGCTGCATCTCTTCCCTCCAGCCCGGTGTCCCCGTCCCTCCCCACACTGCTGCAGCTGTGTGTCGCTGAGCTCGGGCCCCGGTGCTTGTGCTCACCTTGCTGCTCATTGGTTTGTATGTAGAGGTTGAGGAAGGGGAGAAAAAGGCAGGACTCTGCAGTATCGTGAGGATTCAAGCTATTTTAGGCTGTCTGTAGGGCTGTCTTGTGGGGTCCTTGTGCAGGTTCTGTTCCTCTTTCTTATACTTTAAATATGTACATTTGTCCTTAGATGTAGTTTCACATTCCTGGTCTGAAGGACTTGAAATTTTCTGCCAGTTTTCTCTTATTTGTCCTTTTCGGATTTTTCCTGTAAAGCCAGTTGTTATTCTTTTCCCACTTGGCTTTGTTGTGGATTTTGTTTTTGGTTTTGGTTTGGTTTCAAACGGAAGGAACTGCTTTTAAACACTCAGCTGTGTAGTCCTGTAGATTCTGAGTCCCTATCTTTTCACCTTGGTGTCTTGTATTATCTGTTTTTTTTTC